AGAACATGTATGTACATTTTATATAAAGCTAGGTTAATAATTATTGTATTTAACCCGAATCATATATAAAGCTCAATATTCGTAAACTTTTCATCCAATGTCTTATTTAGAAGCCATTGTAGTTCATCCTGTGGGGTCATGTGGTCATTCATGGCTACATTATATACCACAAATATTGTAAACAGTTAATAAATATACTCTACTTAAGGGGCATGTACGGTACATAATTGCAAAATGCCAACCTATAACTAAACTACACATGTCTTAGGCTAAACTTTAATATTATTAATTGCAAAATATAATAGATATTTGATTTCCAAAAGAACCACAGCCCACAGGGAGTAGAAACGCACAATGTATTTATACAGTTACAATAAGCTATATTCCTATAAATTACCTACTATAAATTACCTTGTCACCCTTGTAAGTGAAATTGTCTTGTTTTGTATCTTGTCAACACTTCTTTATTTAACTTGCATTTTATTTAAACTGTTTCAACAAACATGTTTTATAAAATTATGTTTGATATCTATATCCAGAAACTGTTTGAAACAGTATTGTCACGCATTCGGAAACTGTCGGCGTAATGCCGTAAAGTTTAATTTACATGAAGTATATCGCATATAAATGGTCGGAATTCTAAATTATTTTAAAAAATTACTAAACAAAATGTGCACCCGGTACGACCATTTTATGCGGACTAGATAGTCGCTAAAGTATGCGGAAAAGTGGCGACTGATAGTCGAGGAAAATGTGCACCGTCGTATGGCTGAGCCTGCTAGTAAACCGTAACCACTGCACAAGAGTTTTAGTTATAAGTGTAACTGTCCTTGCTTGACGGATGGTGGGGAGGTGGGAGGATATTTCCCCGGAGGGGTAGCTGGCCGGGGTTAGGGTTTGCGGTTAGGTTGCGGGGTTAGCAGGTGGGGTTAGGGGTCAGGGGCTAGGAGGTGGGGTTAGGGTTAGGGGTTAGGATAGGGGTTAGGATTAGGGTTTGGGTTAGGATTAGCGTTTGGATTGGAAGTATACATGATGCGCGACTGACAGTCGCCATTTACTCGCATACTTTACCGACTATATAGTCATGTGGATATGGTCGTACCGGCTGAAATGTGGCACACCGCGTACTACATCGTGGTTTTAAGTCTTTTACCTGATAATTTATCGAGTATTCTGCAAACAAGCAACAACAAAGATTGTATGGTATGTACGATGTAATCATTGTTTTACTGTTTATTTTATATACAGGTCTGGAAAATTTAATAGATGAGAGTTGCAAAACTTGCAAATCTAGCTCATAACCTCAGTCACGTATGTTTTTCGTTTGATAGCCAATATAATTATAACTAGGAGCTAGAGTATAACCATGCACATGTCGAAGTACAACCATTGTATACAATGCAGTGCTCGATCTACATGCAACAGTGCACAAATTGCAGGATGACCTTATTATATACTCGTACTCATTGACTCTCATTATCATAGTCTCCTACTGTTGTTCTACCAGCAATTAGGCTTTGAGAAGCCATGTATATTATAGATTAATTTGTAGCCCAGCCACCATAGTCCATATAAATTGTAGCCCAGCCTCCACATTTTACACCAATAATGAAATTAACCAGTAACTCAATTTTGTTGCTGGTAGTGTAATGAATCTATGGGTCTTTCATATCCCAGAATTGCCTAATTATTGTAAAGTCTGCATAAAGCAGAAAAAGGCTCTGTTTTTATTAACGACCGGAGCCTATTGAGTGACTAAATATTGTCAGCCTAATCCACTTATTTGATTTATCCATGTTGCATTACTTTTGATTGCAAAACACCTGGATTATACATGATTTGCCAGCAAAATAGCAGCAATTGATAAACTTGAGTACATTATTGACTGAATGTATCAAACAGAATGCATGTTGGCGAGTTAATGCGATTTTAAGCATGGGCGTACGGGAAGGAAAATATTAGGGGGTTGGAAAGAAGTGATTGGGGGAGGGGGCGAGAAGTGATTACAAAAAATTCCTATTGGATAGCATATTTCCCACATAATTGACAGAATTTCCCACAAAATTGACAGGATTTGTCCCATTTATTTCTATAATAAACCAATATTGCCAGACAGTGAAGCGAATATTGCCCGGCTGGCATTGTTTGCCCAACAAAGCCAGGGGGCGACTGCCCAGCCAGAAACTGGGGGGGTCGGTCGCCCCGTCCCCCCTCCCCCACCCAGTACGCCCATGATTTTAAGCGATTTTAGGCGATTTAAAGCGACTTTAGGCGATTTAAGAGAAATTTGACCATTTTAATCCGCGATTTTGGGCGATTTTAGGCGATTTAAGGCGATTTACCGCCCCAGAGTAGGCCTTATATTGTATTTCTCGTTCTCAATATACCCCGCAAAAAATATTACTCATATATTGTATTTCTCACGTTCTCAACTAAACCCCGCACAAAATATTACTCATATATTGTATTATTATTATTATTATTATTATTATTATTATTATTATTATTATTAAAACTTTTATTTACACACGGTATTCTCATCAGGATTTACAAAAGTAGAACCACGCTTAATAGAAAATATAATACCTGCTTTTCATGAGGGCCGTGTACTAAGCTAATATAACAATATATACAAAGAAAGTTAAAATAATTTGGCACAGCCCGATCGGAAATTTATCAAGTTATTTGCTTGCCGTAGTTTTGTTTGCTTGCCGTACTCAATAATAGTTACCCATTCTCCTTTTAAACTACTCAAATAATTACGTCATTTTAATGACTGCGTATCCCCGTATCCCCGTATCATTGAAAAATAATAGTTACCCATTCTCCTTTTAAACTACTCAAATAATTACGTCATTTTAATGACTGCGTATCCCCGTATCCCCGTATCATTGAAAAATAATAGTTACCCATTCTCCTCTTAAACTACTCGGAATAATTACGCCATTTTAATGACTGCGTATCCCCGTATCATTGAAAAATAATAGTTACCCATTCTCCTCTTAAACTACTCGGAATAATTACGTCATTTTAATGACTGCGTATCCCCGTATCATTGAAAAATAATAGTTACCCATTCTCCTCTTAAACTACTCGGAATAATTACATCATTTTAATGACTGCGTATCCCCGTATCATTAAAAAATAATAGTTACCCATTCTCCTTTTAAACTACTCGAATAATTACGTCATTTTAATGACTGCGTATAACCGTATCCCCGTATCATTGAAAAATAATAGTTACCCATTCTCCTTTTAAACTACTCGAATAATTACGTCATTTTAATGACTGCGTATCCCCGTATCATTGCAAAATAATAGTTACCAATTCTCCTCTTAAACTACTCCAATAATTATGTCATTTTAATGACTGCGTATCCCCGTATCGTTGTTGCAATATAAACATATTGTTAAGTTATGTCCAATGCAGAGGCGCCGGAATATCGATAATTGCGGGGGCAGATATTTATATATTCGTGTTCACAGACTGTAAAAACAATCGATTTCAAAAGAAATTAATTGGGCAGAACACGAATATATGAATATCTGCCCCTCAATTATCGATATTCCGGCGCCTCTGGTCCAATGTCCATGGTATATCATGTATGTCTATGTCTCACCATGCAATGCCATAAATTTCAGTAAGTTAGTTATGTATTATTACCATATATCTATATATATATATATATATATATATATATATATATATATATATATATATATATATATATATATATATATATATATATATATATATATATATATATATATAGCTTAAGATTTTGGTTTAAACACAAACAGTGCTCAATACCATATAGATAGAGCGTAATATAGTTTTTCGTTTTACCTCAAAAACCACAACAGTCTGTTTCATCCGTATAGGAATCATCAGGTGGTATATATATATATATATATATATATATATATATATATATATATATATATATATATATATATATATATATATATATATATATATATATATATATATATATATATATATATATATATATATATATATATATACAGGGTGTATCAAAAAAAGTAAGACAATTTTGAAATTGCTCTCAATTCCACAATTCTGTTCATGAAATGTAAATAAAAAAAAAATTAAAAAATTTTCATTGATAGACAGCAGATTTCAACGACCAAAACGACTCTTCGTCTTCTTTGAAGAGTTAATACACTCCTATCTACTCCTATAGTCAGCCATATTTATTAGTAAAAGTTCATGTTCAATTTCCGCATTCCATTGTTTTCATGCGACCAATCAAATCACTTCTCGTTTTGGTTTTCGCCAGGGCCTCCGGCAACGCAGTGTCAGCCGTGAGGCCCTGGGACCGAGGATGGTCCGACTGTGAGCTCGAAGTGAATTAATCCCAACCGGAAATACGACTGAAACCGTCAAAACAATGCGACGTTTGTATCGTATGACCCTGGAAAGGCCAGGAATGGTTCGCAAGGTCAAATTGCACCTTACACGCGTGAGTTTGACGTCATCCCGGCCAAAGGAGCTTCTTATTGGCCAATTATTGCGCAATGTACGCAAGTGCGAGTAAAACCCGACATCTTGAAAAATTCAAAATAAATATTTCTAGTCGGCGTATACATACGAAACTTTCTACACGAAAGCGCTTGAATACAAAGAGTATTTTACACATATAGCCGTTCAGCAAATGTCGAAAAGTTCAAGGCGTATTCAAGATCTTGTGGATATGAAATTTAGAATCTTTGGCCAAGCGGTGAGTAAATATATGATTGTTTCGGTTTGTGTAATGTTCTGACGGCACTTGACCCCCCGTTCGAAAGGTTATTTTATGAGGATTACAATGGTGGCTTTTATTTAAAAGGGGGGGGGGTGTAAATACTCTCCAAGATATTTATTTTTGAAACATTGTGTCGTAATATGATGCGAATGGCTTGTGATAGGAAAGAGATAATTATAGGTCTAAATTAAATATATATGAATCTTCCACTCGAAATGTTCATCTACATAAAGCCTTCAATCTCGGGATCAAGTGGTCTTAGAATCAGGGGCGTAGGAAGAGGGGGAAGAGGGAGCGCGTGCCCTCCCTCCCAAATTGTTTCAAAGGACGAAAAGTATCCCTTTTTGTGATGAAAAGTGCCCTTTTTGTACAAGCTAATGTCTCTGTAAATACTAAATTAACATCAAAGGTGCCCTTCTTGTTTAGAGATTTCGATGTTTTTTTAAAAAAATTTGGTCAAAAACGTGCCATTGCGTTATGGTATTACGGGAAAACTTTTCTTAAGCTACTAGTTGTCCAATCGACGTGTGTGGTGCACCGCATTCTGGTTTAGAATACTTTATTGTACATATATCAAGTTTATAGTACTACAATATATATACATGATCACTATTTAGGGAAATTACATTTATTATGCCGAGGGGGTTGGGGGGGTGGGGGGGGAGATGGATATGTCTTGAAAAAAAGCTCATATTTTACAGGGCCCCTGTTGAGATTATTGGTAAATTTCCGATGCCCCCCTCCAAGTTTCTAAAATTTTCAATGCCCCCCCCCCCTCCAGAATTCGGAATTGAAGCAGTACAATCCGGAATTCTCTCTTATCGTAGGCATCATATATACAATTTGCAGCTCCTCAAGATGTCTGATATACTCAAGCATGTACTTCTCCTCAACTAAAATACCGACCTACTGCTTCTTTCACCTCACTAGCGCCAGATTAAATGGCACCCTTTAAAAAAAACCATTTTAGATTGGTGCCAAAAAAATTTAAGTGAGCTATAGGTGATTTCATGTATCCATTTATAGAAGAGCAGACTAAGGATATCTTGAAACTGAAATCGGTTTCGAATACAACCATCAGGGACCTAGCAAAGCATCTGACGTTTGGGGGGGGGGGATGTTGGGGGATTATACATGTAATAATAATAATAAAGCTTTTTGTGATTGATTGGCACTCTCATATTAAGTTTCGGGAGAAAAAAGGGGTCTGGGGGTCCTCCCCCAGAAAATGTTTACATTCTACGACTGAATTTCTGGCGTGTTTTAAAGCAAATTCGCAAACAAATTTCATGCAAATTGACTGTATTTTACAAAAATGGTTATCATTTCACAAAAATAATTACTTTATTACGCAAATTTTACCTGAAAATGTCAAAATTTTAACTTGAATTTTACATATTTTTGTCTGAATTTCACAGTAGGGGGAGTTTTCAAACCATCTATTCCATTAACTATGTGGGAGTGAACACTCCAGGCCACTGCTGGACCAAAACTTTGAAAAGTTTACAGCTACCCCCCCCCCCGTCAGTATATCGAGCCCCCCGTTCAATGCCAGATTGCCAGAGAATATTTCGATGCCCCCCTTAACATCTTCACCCCCCCCAGCATAATAAATGTACTCCCTTATTTACGGCGGCCCAGACGCGACAGCACAAAAACAGTTTTTGTATTTTTAGATTTTTTGATTTTTTGATTTTTAGATTTTTAGATTTTTAGATTTTTAGATTTTTAGATTTTTAGACTTTTAGATTTTTAGATTTTTAGATTTTTAGATTTTTAGATTTTTAGATTTTTAGATTTTTAGATTTTTAGATTTTTTGATTTTTTGATTTTTTGATTTTTTGATTTTTTGATTTTTTGATTTTTTGATATATATTTGGATTTTTTTAATGTTTAAAGTAGTGATGGGCGATACCAGGATTTTTAATTCGATACCGATACCGATACTTTTAAGATCGGTATCGGCCGATACCGATACCTATTTCGATACCAAAATGAACACACAATTTCAATTTTCGATACCGGAAGTGAGTACTTAAATTGCTAGTATCGGCTACTTTCGATACCTGCCGGTCAGCGGAAAAACATTTTACATTACTGTATGTAACCTAAATAAAGCTATATGTAAACCAAAAGCCTGAAACGTAATAAATATTTTCTATACATGACTTGGCGCAGCACATTTGGAATATTAAGACTTATTTTAGTGGTTCATTAAGTCTTATTCAACCAAGAAGTGAAATTAAACAAGTCGTTTAAAAAAGGGTGCAAGTATCGAACGATACCACGTCAGTAATCGATACCGATACCGCTGTTTGTGGTATCGCTGGTATCGAATACCAAGTACTCGGTATCGCCCATCACTAGTTTAAAGACCTTGTCAAGTTCGTTTGCACATCAGTTCTGTTCATAACAAAGGGCGACCCACAGAAATAAATATTGCCCAAATTTTGCATTTTTCGAACTGTTTTGAATTGAAACGTACTCTAGTTTATATTCATTTACAATAGCGAACCAGAAAACTGTTAGATATTTAGTTAATAGTACTGGTACAGGCGGTGATCGCACTACGACCGCAATGCATTATTTTGGATATTTTCTTCAAGATGGCGGATTTCGAGCACGATGAAAGGTATGTTGGCGCTCTATTTTCTGCCACGTTTTAAAGTTTAAACTTTTTGTTTTTTCTTAAAAAGGAAGTTGCATGTAATATTGTTATGCTGTGTTACTTTTCAAATCGATAATTTTTGGAATTCGATAAAAAATATCATTTGATTGTAAGCTCGTGTATTTTTCCCAAATACACTGGTCTGTTTACTTTTTCATGTCACAGGTTAACCGTTCACACATCACATTTAAAATTGCAATTGGCATAATCTATGATCATTATTTGTGACCATATTAAATGGCGCCCCTTGGCGCCCCTCAATATTGTATCTTTCTGGGGCTTTTAAATCATGATATTTCCTTTGCTAATTTCAGGTCTTCTTGTCCAGAGTTCATGTTCTCCCGCTATTTTGGGGAAGCGTTCGTGCATCCCAGAGTCCCATACGCCAGGCAAACAAAAAACAAAGCGGCAAAGAAATAATAAACGCAAAAGAGAAGCAAAAAAACATTTTCAAATGGAAAAAATAATGTATGTCAAAATGAGCAAGACCAATGGCAGACTGTTGGACAACCGAAGAGGCGAAGAACAGACTTTAATAATGGGACTGTTTCATATTTGACAGGATCAATGACTGTCTGGTGGTGAAAAACCATTTGTGCTTGTTGGAACTGTTTCTTGTATTATAGTCAGTTGGAGCAACTGGCAATGACTCAGTAAACGTTTCCTTGGTTAATTTTAGATGTGTTAATTTTTTTTCCATTTCCACCAAGTTACCCATACCATTTGTTTGTAGCTTTAAATAGCACCTGAAACATGACATGCATACTGTAGTCCACATTGCTGCAGAATGCCTTACTACGGATGTAAATATAACACAGATACATGTACAGGCATAATACAGATAGTGTCTCACACAAATAGTGTACAGCATTATACCCAGGCATTCACCAAGTCAATGTTGAAAATAATAGTTCTGTGTAAATTTTACCCCACCCAGGCCATCCCATTAAAAGCAGGACACCCATGTCAATAGTTGCACACAGTGTATTAATTATTACTACTTTGCATAATTATACATTTGAACAGCCAGGCTGACCTGGTTCCCAATCTGAAAAAACTTTCTCCCTATAAACACAAACTGGGCTGGCATGGATGGAAGTTGTAAGAATGCTGCTGTGAGTTATGTAGAAAAACTGTTAAAACACTGTAAACCCACTACACTTGTGCAAATTTGTTATTCATATATTTTATAACACTTCATTGAACAATGTTTTACTAAGTTTATACATGACCACCATCATCATTGAAATGCAAACAAAAACATCCCATTTTAATTATTGTTATACATGCTGTACCTTTTCACACTGATATAGAGCATTTGCACATGACGTCACAGCCACCATGTTGGTGTTCCAATTCAAAATAATTTTGATTAGACTCTTGTCTGGAACACCAACATGGCCGCCATGGCTTTTGTTGAGTTGGCCCGTGGGGAATGAGTGCAAACGCTCTATACAACAAGGTCTGAATCTTCAGACACTGCAAAACCGCAGCCTCAAATCAAAGCGCCTGGGGACGAGGAGCCCTGGCAAAACCAGGATCTGTGCATCTGCTTCATATGGCGCCATTATGTACTGAATTGAATATCTTTTTCACAGCAAAGCTGAAAGGTGGATAATAACAAATTTTTATTTACTGCACACAACTAGTTTCCAATTTACTCTCTATAATTTTTTATGCATTTGTACATAAAAGGGGTGTCATTTAAAAACAGGAATTTGAATTTTGCAAAACAAATTGATCAAACGTCTGATTAGCAAGGCATTGGCATGGATTATAAATTGTTGTGACATTCCCATGCACCAATAAAATGTAAATTCTGGGGAGGGGTATAGGCAAGGTGTAAGGATTTGGAATTTTTTAAAAATTTTTTGGGTAAATTCTAGTGAGTGGAAGGCTAGAACAAAGTTCTTGAAAACTAGATAGTATGTGGTTCAATTTAAATCACATCATTTTTCTTACTCTCCATATATTGTTATGCAAGGTGTTTTTCTGCCAGCTGCAAATTGCCATTGCAATGATTTTTTATTACTTAGGCGCTACTGTATTTATATGATCTTGGATACTAGAGACACCCAATCCCAACCCGAGACAACTTTACTGCACATTTAATCTCTTCCTATGAGAATGGCTCTAAGTACGAGATTGTGACTCCATGGAAGCCGAGACAAACATGTAAACACATGGACAAAAGTTGTCCCTCCTACAAGGGTAACCCTGTTTCGTAAACAGGGTGTCCCTACTGCCAGGGTGACCCTACCAGCCCAGACGAGTTGAAAACTTTCCATATAAACACTTGTGTTTAAATGTTATATAATGAATATAATTTTGCCTCTCCCAGGGTAGCTCGGAGGGTAGAGAGTGTCTCTATTACCCGAGATCATATAAACAGCACCTCAGTCACATTATTATCCTCTCTATTCAATGCTGCATAATATTTACAATATTTGTGATCATACCAAAAATTGAATTGGCATGGCATACAAAATATGTGAAGATTATGATTTTCATCCCATAGTTTTTAGATTAGTCAAACTATAGAAATTGTGACCGATGATGGCATTGGAAGTACTAAAATGATGGGCAAATTCTATTAAAGCATAACTAAAATTACATGGAATTTTACAGTAGCTTGCATATTGTATATGTATTAAATAATATAATATTGCAGAAAAGTTTCCGTGTCTATGCATACTTTTACCGTATGTCCACAACCCTGAAACATTTGCATAATTATAATAACAATACAGTCATATAAAGAACAATAAAGTAAATAGAATATACATAAGTTTAGCGATTGAAACACTGCACAAACCAATAAGTAAACATATAAATAAATTAAAACAAACATACTTGCGATCATCGCCAAACCTTTGAAACACACAGCCAACGCTTTGTGCAGTCAGCAGGATGCATCGACTGCACAAACTTTTCCAGAAGTTCTTTGACATGTACTGCCACTGTTGATTCTTTCAAGAAGGGTAATAGACAATTTTATATACCCATCGCTCGGCCGTGCACAGTGTTTTCACCTCGAACGTCAGAACGCTAATGAGTGAATTTTTTATTTTACTCATGATGCATTGCGGTCGTAGTGCGATCACCGCCTGGCAACCTCGTACCCAGGGCCTTTGCGCGGTTCAGAGGCTCTGGTACGGGAAGCAAAGGCCCTGGTAAACACTGGTCATGTGACTCCAAAAATATTGGACATTTGTAACCTGGCCTTTGTTTAGGTCATGTTATCCCGGGGGGGGATGAACAACTGAACATTGCAATGCACGAACTATAAAAGTTTCAAATACAAATGATTTTGCCTTTGATTTTTAAAATATGAATGTATAACAATTGTTTGAAAATTCATATTTTAAAACAACAGGCAGCAGATTTTAGGCTTGTTTTTATTTGATGGAAATTATAAACTTTGAAGTCAAATGGATTTTGAATTATGCTTTAAAGAATGCAGTATATTCGAGGTAAACGATTTTATGATGCATAATTATTCTATAAAATTATATTCTCATATCTTTTAATATTTATCAGTTTATATATCCTAAATTCCAGCAGATTCGTGGCTGTCTGTTTATATAATTAGTTTTCTTCGTTTAATTACTCCTCCATCGCTTTTGGATATAAACCCTCCTTCATGCCTGATATATTTTTTGGTTATCTCCATCCTTCACTTAATAATTCACTAAAATCAAAATTTTCTGTTCCAGCTTGCTCAGTTATCTTTGGCATGTAAAATCATTAGGCAGTACCCTCAGTAAAATACTTATTTAACTGGCTGACCATTACAGTAGTCAACAGTTAATAAATGAATACATGCAAAAATTACAAATTAACTGCCCTCATACCAATCCATTGGTCTCTGACTCATCCAATAAATACTTAACAAAATAGTACGATAATAATAGAAAAGTGTGAAAATGCCAACGTTACCTAACTTTGTGTGACAAGAAAGTTAGATTACATTAATTTTACAGTCAGGTATTCTTTTCTTTATCGCCTCAATAGTCTGGTTGATGATTCCAATGGCCCCCATAAAATTCCAATGGCCGGCCCCCATAAATTTCCAATGGCCCCCATAAATTTTACTGGAGAAAATGTTTCCCCCACTTCTTGCCATTAAATCTCCATAGCCCCCAATTTTACCCATCCAATTAGGGAGAGTCTTGTGTGGTCACACTATAGTAATGGGAATATGGGATAATCAAATATGGCATACTTTGTTATTTTTCTCTGTCCAACACCAGACAATTTTACTTGTCAAGTGTAAGGTTAAGTGAGTAATAAAAAGTGGCTGGATATTCTAACTTTTGCTCCATATAATTGGACTTTGGTTGTGAGCAAAATGTAAAAAGACAATTACCAGTAATACTGGCCTTACTACATCCCTATTATTTACCTTGCAACCTTGAGCAGTTGTGCTGTTACAGCAGAATGTGGTTTCAAATGACAGTTATTTTATGGCAATTATGATATTCCAGTGTGCCAGTAAGACATTTATCATTTGTTTCTCTTTTAGTACTATATCGAAAAGGTGATTGCAGGGTATTCAGATCCTGGAGTGATGTGAAATGGCCATGACCTTGGGCAATTTATAAGTAATATATGAGTGGTGTAAGATAGGAAATTTTTTATTCATTCTGATTGACTAATAAAATTAGAATGGTGAGAATAATGATGATGATGGTAGTGAAATACAAGTTGTGATGATATTGGTGATGCACAAGTTGTAATGATACTGCTGATAATGATAAAAAATATATTGTATTTGTAATGAGACATAAATAATAGAGATTGGCAGTAATGAATGTGTATGACTTGATCAATTGTGCTGGTGAGAAGGCAATATATTGCCACCTAGATGAATTAAAGTCCCATGCCATTTTGTGTTCAAAACTAACTGTTCTCATCAGCTCCAAGCATAACTGGGAAAGCTGGTTTCAATCCTGTTAGCTGATCTGGAAACTATTTGCACACATATAAATATTTATTTTTTCCCCTCATGAATTATATTGTTTGCCCAAAATATTGGTTGATTATTTCATCTAGAAACAGTGTGAATGTTGTTTGAATTTGGTATGTTCACTCTGTGACAAGTGAAAGTGATATGTAATTCATGCATATGGTGATTTTTGGTTTCAGGATGTAAAAAATGAAATTTACTTACTGATAAAATTTAGTGTAACCATATTCATTAAGCCTCTGTGTCTCTCTTAGAAGCCCTACCTCCTCAATACAAATAAAACTCTGCATAGTGACTTGTGCCGTGACTAATATTATGTTACAGCTTTGGTTCAAATTTCATAAATCATGAACCGATGTACAGTAACTGCAAATGTAAACAAATAGGTGAATGCACACCCAGTATACAGACTGTTATTTGCCTTTAAGACTCCTAAGTCACATATCACTGATATAAGATTCATAGTAAATTTGTTGTTTCAAGATCACTGTATATTATTTCTCATGATTCAGGATTGGTACCCCCCCCCCTTCCAGACAAACAGAAATATAGATGATACATCCCAAAAAATAAATATGAAATTAACTCACACACACAAAGTCAAAGGTTTCAAGATACTGTGTATAATTTCATTCACAACTGTATTTTAAACTACATACATACGGAAACCAACCTGTCACTCGACCAGTTAATTGTTTCAAAATAT